TAGCCCAGGCTGGCCTCGAACTCATAGAGATCCGCCTGGCTCTGCCTCCCGAGTGCTGGGATTAAAGGCGTGCGCCACCACCGCCCGGCCAAAATTCTAAAGAATTTTAAAGAAATGTTTAATATTGATATTTGCTAAAATCACAGATTGATATCATTAGCTGTGAAATTACAAAAGGAAAATCAAAAATATGAGCACACCATGAAATATTTAGAAACAGTGAAATATTGTAGGAATTTTTTTAGACAAGTTCTCATTGTATATCCTAAGAAGGCATTGAACCTAAACTCCCTCTGCTTCAGCAGCCCATTCCCTAGGACTCTAGGATTAAAGGTGTGAGCTACCACACCCAGTTAAGGAGGAACTCAGGAAACCTTGTTGTGCAGATTTAATTATGGATACTGGTCATAGATTTAATTCAATCTTCCATCTATTTAGAATACTGCTATTTACAGGAGTTCACCTACAACAAGCATTAGTAAACACAACATGGGAGGAAGAGGGCGTGGTCCTTAGAGAGTATATAAGGACAGTCCAGGGGCCAGACAGCTTCATTCTTCTCTAGACCAGACAGAGTGTGTTTCCATAGCTTCTGGCTCTCAGACTGTTAGATATATCTCCTCCACACATTGAAGATCATACCCCAGAGCTGAGCTAATATTGTTGTGTTTCCAATAAACACTGCTGAGGCCAGAATCTATTTGTGGGTAAGTGGACAATTTACAGTTGGAAAGTCATTGATATTTCTTATTTTTAATTTATTATCAAACTAAGGTTTCTGCTTAAAATTGCTTAAAATTTGGCTGTTTATCAAAAGAGATTCTGCTCCTGTTTGGTCATCTTTCCTCATAAATATACTGTGAATTACAGCTGTAGGCAAATTTTAGTATATATATATATATATATATATATATATATATATATATATAGTCTTTCTTTGATGTTCTACTTTTCAACTTTGATCTTTCTCTAAATTTTAAAAATATTTTAGAGCAGTTTTGTATGTACTTCATATATGCAAGATCAACACCTCTAAATTAATTTTATATGGATAATATATAAAAATAATTGCTCAGATTAAATTGATAATTACTAGTATTTAGAGATACATTCTATAAATATTGTGTATAAAAGTGAAAACTCATGATTTACCAAAGGAAAACATTTTAGTATTTTTCTGTTGTAAACTATAGGAAAACATCACAGTGTGAAATAATGCTTGATAATAGTTTACATCTTGGAAGAACTGGCTATTCCTGCTATAGACAGATTTATTTGGTTGGAAGTATATGTGTGATTAAATTAGAGAAAACTAAACACAATATTGTATTTAAAAAAGTAGATTCTCATTATAATCTGGTGCAATTTTTCAATTCTATGTTCAGTTTTCATTATTTCTGTGAACTCATGAATTATTTTGGAATGAAGTATCCAATGTACAGAAAAAAATACCAAATGGAAGTGATTAGGTAGGTTAAAGAAGGCAGAACTAGAGTCTCCATCTCTTTTCTAAACTAATCTTCACAATGAGTATCAGTATTATTATTGATTTAAATACTAAAATCATTGACTCCATTTGCTACAGACCCCAGAAGCTTAAGTCATTTGAGGGATGTTTATCTTGGTCAAACCAAAATTCTTTATTTGTGTAGATGTTTAAAGAGAAGGACAATGGACACCTGTTGATTAGATGGCCAATTCTGAACAGTCATGAGAACCTAATTTATGCCTCATGTTCATCCTATAAACTCAAGCCAGGAACTGTATCTTTAGTAAACAAATAAGTTTCCCCAGAGAGTACCTTAGTATTGGACTCAATAGGATTTAGGAAAGACATGGAAACGTCTAGGGATGTCTAAAGGATTATTTGGTGTAGATTCACTACACTTGGAAAAATCCACACTAAATGCTCATACATCACTTGACCATTCCATGGTTTGAAGTCTTAATCTGGAAAAAAAATGGAACAGTAGCTGAGCAGCAAGTGGTGTTCCTTGGTTTCTGCTTCCTGATTTTGGATGCCATGAGACCAGCTACCTCAAGCTCCTGACATCATTTCATCCCCACAATGATGAATAATATTCTTCAATTATGAACCAACATAATTCTTATTCTCATTACATATTTTCAACAAAAAGAAGATAAGTAACTAATATTGCCTTCAAGTGTCAAGGGGTGGGACAGTGTCATGTAAAATAGTAGGACAATCACATCAGAAATCAAACAAATCATTTATAATGGACCATGTGAAATAGGAAGTGCATTCTTGAATTGACAACAAAGAAGCGTGTGTTTAACCTACCTATGTCTGTAGTGAAAGGCCAACATGTGGACGTGAAGGATTTAGATCACTCCACAGTGTATAATTTTTTCATAAGAACTGAGAGATCATGTCTCAGACCATGAACCAAGGTACTAATTTGGATGGAATCTCCAAAAATGATGCAGGTGGTGGGACACAGAAGGTCATTAGATGAATCCATGCTTCTGTCAGGAAGAGTGAAACAGGAAAGATCAGCAACTGCAATCCTATACTAATGTTGATTTTTGGTCACCCAAAAATAAAACCTGTTTTGACAAACATAGAATTGAATCACAACTTGAAGGAAATTTTGTGTAGTCTCTTCTTTGTCCGAGATCCAATAATAGCAATACTGCTTTTCCTTCTTCAGAAAAATGGAGTCAGACATCTCACAAGCCTTCCAGAAAGAACTCACCTGCTGCATCTGCCTGAGCTGCCTGACAGACCCAGTCACCATAAGCTGTGGTCACAGCTTCTGTCAAGCCTGCCTCCACCTTTACTGGGAAGACATCGAATGTCCTGTCCAATGTCCTATTTGCAGGGAACCAGCCCAGAAGAAGGGCTTGAGAACTAACATTGTTCTGAAGGAGCTGGTGTTCATTGCCAGAAAAGCCAGCCTCATGAAAGACCTGAGCTCTGAGGAGCATAAGTGTGTGACTCACATGGAAACAAAGAGGATCTTCTGTGCTGAGAACAGGATCTTCCTCTGTCAACTCTGCTCTAACACTCATGAGCACAGAGGACACAGACACTGTCCCACTGAAGCAGCTGCTGAGGATCAAATGGTAAGTGATGCTTCTGAGAGAACTTGCAAGCTGGAGAGAGGTAGGCTTAGGAAACCACAGGAAGATGCTGGTCCTCATTATGACAAAGCCACTGTTTTCAGAATGGTGTAACTTTAATAACAGCTAATAAAGAAAGGGTGACTAGAAATGTAAATATGTCTTGACCCATTAGTGAAAAGATCATTTGTATTTTATGATGCATTATACCTAGGTCACTGGAAACAGCAATATTGAGTTCATATATTTTAAAATTGTCTATGACTGGAGACTAAATTAATAAAATACATTGGAGTCAGGTACAGCCAAGAATCTGGGAATCCCAATCTTATTCAAATTACCCTATTGGTGAAATTATTAAGGCCACTCCACTTAGTTAAAAGGAGATTTATTTAATGGCGTAACTTAAAAAATGAAGGAATACATAGGTTGAGGGTTTTGGGAAAGACACAGCAGTAGTCTGGCGATGTTCTCTGGAGAACTCTCCTCCATCCACCTCTAGCATCTAGGCTCCCAGCAGCAAGAGAGCAGTCATGTCTGATCTCAATCTGGGGTCTTCAGTCCCTCCCTTGGCCCTGCCTTGTGGGCGTGATAGTTAGCAAAACCTCAATGGGGGTTGGAACTTCCAGACCAAAACTGGAATGGCTACCCACTATAGTACCCAGACATTAATCAAAATTACTAAGCAGTATACTTGAGAGAAAGGGTATGCTATACTTTCTATTTCTACGTTCTGAAATCTAACATTCATAGTGAAAAAAGAAAAAAATTAATATTGTGATTCTTCTACTCCCACTAAAGTAATTGTATCAAATGCCCAAGAGTATGTCTATCAGTATTATTTATCAAAAGTTGATATTTATTGTTTTTTTACAGCAAAGACTTCTAGAGCAAATGACATGTTTATGGGAGAAGATTCAAGAAAATCAAGAGAATATAAAGGCAGAGAACAGAATGATAACTCTGTGGATGGTGAGTATGAGATTCAAGCTTAAAATCTGGTTGAAGCAGATATTTTTCAAAATTCATCAATTAAGATTTGAGTATAAGGCATTGGATATGATATTAGGAGTACATGTAATGCTAGCCTCTAATTCCCAGTGTTAGTATAACTATATGTAGAATGAATTGTCTGGCTGTGGCAGAAGAGTCTGGGAATAATGAGTGAATTGCTGACAGTTCAGCACACTGCATTAAACTCTATGACGACACCATGAATTCTAATTACTACATGCAGAGTTTCATATCTTTGTGAACATACAAATTATCAATCAATACCTTTTCTTCAGGCACCTCTGCATCTCTAATATAGGTGAAAATGCTTAGTGTCTGTTTGCCTGTGTAATTAATAAGGAAGAAATAAATGAAACCAAGGGCATTTACATTTTCTGAAAAGTGGGGACCGTCAATCACAGTCTATGTACAAAGTTATAGAAGTCATTTGTGAAATGTAAGCATGGGAGGATGCAATAGAGGAGGATAAATTGTTTGCAAATATTATTGGAATGTCCCTTTTTGTTCAGGACTACTTGACTCTTCGGGAAGAAATGATCAGGACAGAGTATAGGAAACTGCATCCACTCCTCTGTGAAGAGGAAGAGAAACACATCGAGTCTATGAAAAATGAAGGCCAATGTGTTTTAGAGAAACTCAGGGCAAGTGAAGCCATGATGGTCCAAAAGAACAAAGAACTAAGAGATATGTATCAGGAGCTGATGGCAATGTCCCAGGAGCCATATGTGGTCCTGCTGCAGGTGAGCATGGAGGAGGGTAGGAAGAGGCTTTATTGTCTTAGGCCCACACTAGTGATTGATATACTAAGATAGCTTTCAATGTCCCCTGTATTTATGTTAGGGGATTTCCTTTTCAGGGACAATCTTGAAAGAACAAGCTTTTTGAAATTATGTCAGTAGATTTCCTAAAGAATATGTGGTAACTGTTGGCTTTTGTACCTTGCTTCTCTGAGAACCCAAATTCAGTGGTTGCTCTTTCCAAGACTCTTTTCCCCTCTACTTCAATATTGTGCACAATTTTAAAGTGACCTATGTCTTATTATCTTATGTTTGAAAGCTTTGTTTTTGAGAGTTCTTTGGGAGGTTGGGATTTTCGAGGTTTACATAATGTCCTTTTCTGGTGGATGGTGGCCTGCAACTCACAGTAATGCTCAGGCCTCTAACCCTGTAATTCATGAATTATAGGTGTGAAGCACCATGCAGAGGTGAACTTATTCATTTAAAGTACTCTTACTTAAAGTATCCCTGTGCTTTGTAGCAAAGCTCAGAGAAAGTTACCTTTTGAGACAGGTGGGGGTTCAAATGCAATGTTTGTTCACTACCCTTGTCCTCAAATTTTACTCTTGCAGTCTAATTTCAACAAAAATTCAAATTCCGCTAAACTTCTTCATTGGCATTATCTTGAGACATAAATATAAGTTTTAACAGTAGATAGATGTGATGGTGACTAAAATTACATGAATTTTGAAAACAAACGTATGCCATTTCTTAAGATATCTAATTTTTTCTTGTTTTGTTTGCAGGGTTTGGACGACATGTTCAGAAGGTGAGTTTAGATATCAGTGCAACCCAGGATACCCTGAAATATGCTATAAAATTGATGAACCTCCCTTAGCAAAGTACAGATATGCTTTATATAGAAAATGCTCAATTGTTGGTGTTTAATATGTTTGGGATTCTTCTATTTGATTTGTTATACTTATGTGTGTGAATGTTTGTGGATGTACATGCACATGTGCCATTGCACATGTGTGTAGGTCAGAGGATATCTTTCAGGAGACAGTCCTTTCCTTCTACCATGGGATTGAACTCAAGTTGTTAAATTTGTGTAACAAGGGACTTATCCCCTGAGCCATTTGGCTGGACTTGGAGTGAGGTTTTTCCTAATCACTGTGATAATATCTTTAGGGCCAGCCAGATCAATATTTTCTTTTCCTTGCAGGAGTGAGTCAATGCAGCTAAGCATGCCTCAGACTACGAACCCAGAACTCAATGCCCTACCCATCACTGGACTGACTGAAAGTTACAAACAGTTCCAGGGTAAGTGTCTCCACTGATAACATGACCAAAGGTACCCTTCAATAATGAGATAACCTTTGCAAACACAAATATTTTACTCCCCAGTAATATGTCTAGGTAAGTTACATTGTAATCTTATTTAATGAGGTGGTCATCTTACAAACAACAACAAAAAACCAAACATAAATGAATATCAAAATCATGGTGTATGTGATACTGGCTAAAAAGAGTATCATTTGTTCACTGAGACATAAGGAATTATAAATTAATTCAGAACGGTTTAATTCAAATTAATGTAGCCAGTGATGGATATATTTGAATATTTTACTTTAAACATTTTAGCAATTAATTTGTTACATTACAGTTAACTCCATAGTTAAAAATACACAGAATATAGTGGTGCACACTCAGAATCCCAACATCAAAAAGCTAGAGAAAGGAGGACTGCCAATGATTTTGAGTACAGTCTGGTCAACATAGTGAGTTCCATGCAGGTCAAGGATAAATAGCAAGACCCTATCACAAAAGGAACCAGAAAAGAAAAATCATAAAATAACTAAACAGACAAAGCCATGTATCATGAGCAATGAAAATAAAACAAATTGAAAAGATATGAGGCAGTGTCTAAATCCCCCTTGTAGATCTAAAAGTCAATTGTAACCTTACAGGCAAAGAAATCAGAAGAACCAAAGGTTAAATGAGGACCAATACATTCAGGGATCCACTTCTAGAGTATATTTAGATTCTCCTTGAGTATAAATATGCTCAGTTAGATGCAAATAAAAACACTAATATGAAAGTTATCACTGCTTGTACCTTGGTAATAACTTTTGATGTAGACACACGAGCACAGCCTTTGCTCTGGCCCTCGCTACAATACACACATCATCTTTTGCCCAGTGTAATAAAAGTCACCTGATAGAATTTGGCTGAGGCAAGCTCCTCTACAGCACTTAAAAAGTTTCATAAAAAAAATGCTGCTATTCTGTTTCTTGTGAATATCCATCACCTTGTATATGACTCCAAGTCTTAGCCTTCACTCTTTAATATCAAGAAGACTCTATGGACCTCTCTCACCTGAGAAATGTAAATGGTCATTTTAACTAAAATGTTGATTCTTCCAACAGTTCACATTTTCTTTGAAAATACAATCGTATTCCATCACAAAATGAACATATTTAATGCCATGAGAAGATTTATCTTTCGACCTCACCATAAAGATACACATGCAGATTCTGCTGGATGCTATTTTGCTTCCTGGAGATCAAAGAACTCCTTCACTTCTGGGAGATATTACTGGGAACTGGATTTGAAGGACACTTGGGAGTGGGCTGTGGGGTTCTGTAAGGATTCCTGGTTAAGGAACAGAAACCAACTGACTGACTATGAAGGTGCATTTCTTCTTGTGTGTGTGAAGGAGGGTAGTCATTATAGTCTCCTCACCACGTGCCCAGTATTACAGCACTATATAAAGAAGCCAATAGGTCGAGTTGGGGTGCTCCTTGATTGTGTGGATGGAAGTTTAAGTTTCCTGAATGTTGCTCGGAATTCTCTCATATACAGGTACCCCCCTGGTACCTTTAATTATCAGGTCAAGCCTTTCTTCCTCACTGGCTACACTTGGTCATAGGAAGATGTAATCTAGTACTTTGGTATTTTTAAAGTATTTGCTCTGTTACCTCATTTATTGCTATTAAATATTAAAATACTATTACATGAAAAAGATGGTTGACTATGTTTCCTTTTCATCTGTGGTCCACATGTTATATCAAGATAACATCCTTTCAAAGTGGTTTTGTCTTGTTTGTTTTTGCAAATTTGTCAGAATTACTAATTAGGACTAAAGCTTTAGTTTGGTCCTAGAGCCCTTTTTAAGTATGCTCAGGACCTTCAGTTGGATTCTAGCACCACAAAAAATTCATGTAGCTGTTTATATATGTCTGTTATATATACATATCTATGCATATAATATTTTACTATCTTATTGGTGCCATGCAGGAGCACAGATATGTATCATACTTATTAATTTTAAGTCAGCTTGAAACAGGCTACAGTCATCTGAGAGAAAGGAACTCGAGTTGTGAAAATGCATCCACGACCATGGACTCTGTGCAAGCCTGTAGAGCATTTTCTTACTTAGTTGTTGATGATGGAGCACGGCAGATTACTGTTGGCAGGATTTTCCAGGGCTGCTGGTGGTGGGTTCAATGAGAAAGTAGTATTAGCAAGCCACAGGGTGTAATTGAGTAAGTAGTATTCCTCCAAGGCTCCTGCTTCAAGGTTCCTGCCCTGTAAGAGTTCCTGTCCTAGCTTCCTTTAATGATGAACAATGAATGATATGGAAGTATAAGCCAAATAAACACTTGTAGATGAACAGTCTTTTTAAATAAGAAACACAAAGCAAAATGCTTAGTTAAAAGCCCAAGATGTCAGAGTAATAGCTAAGAGCTAAAAACCCTCTCTTACCCTTCACTGTTGCCACTGTCCTTACACTCAGCAAGAGATACTTCTTGTATATCTGTCTTTTTATAGACTTTCTGTTCTGCCTTCTCATTGGTTGTAAACCCAACCACATGACCTCCTTGTCACTGCCCATCTATGCAGATGTCTAGGTCTTCTATGTTTGGTATTAAGATTAAAGGTGTGTGTCTCCATGTTGATTGTATCCTTGAACAAACAGAGTTCTGCCCGTCATGTGATCAAAATTAAGGGCATGTGCTACCACTGCCAGACTTCTACCATGGCTTGCTATTAGCTCTGACCCCCAGGCAACATTATTTATTAACATGCAATGAAATCACATTTCAGTACAAATAAAATATCACCATAAATACTTTTCTCCCCAGATTGCTTTTGTCAAGGTATTTCATCACAGCAATAGTACTATTAATAGAACAATTTAGTACCAGGATTGTGGGGTTGAGCTCTAACAGACCAGACCATGTTGTCTTGGAGAGAATGGTGGAAGAATTTGGTACCTTTGCACTAGAAAAGTCATTGAGTGTTGAGTGCCCAATGTGCTGTTCTATAGGACTTTGGAAGGTAAAAATGTTGAGATGATGGAGACCTGTGTTGTGAAGTTTCAGAGGGAAGGAAAGAGTCTATGAGGCCTTTTGTGTAAAGAACCTGTGATGTCTTGTCAGCTGGAGCTGGAATCACCTGTGATTCACCACAGACCAGAACCACTAAAGTAAAATCCTTGCTTTGCTGGGTAAATGGATGCTGGTCATCTTGGCTGAAGAAATCAGATATGATTAAGAAAGAGACCAGCATCATCTAGGTGATGTCTTCTGATAAGTGTTTCCTCAGGGTCAGCCCACAAAAGCTGTGTTTCAGAAGACCTGAGCTTGTACTCTTGCTGTTAGCCAAACTTGGTAGTGTAAGGGGTACTGGTTGTGAAGGCATGAAGAGGTCATGGAGAACAGCTTAGGCTTGGGAGCATGAGAGGCCAGGAGAAGCCTTTGAAGAAGGATCTACTACAGAGACACTTGTTAAAACATGTTCATTGCTGCTTTATTCATACTAGCCAGAAATTGGAACAAGTTAGATGTCAATCAACACATGAATGGATTAAAAAGTATGGCACACTCACACAATGAAATATTACTCCTCCATTAAATAGATGCAATCATGAGATTTCCAGGTAGATGGATGGAACTAGAAAAATACCATACTGAGTGAGGTAATCTAGACCAATTACGAACTCATAAAAGTTTTCAAAAATTGCTGGGTTATGGCCCTCAATCATTAAAAATTCAAGAACTAAGTAATTTATTTCAAACTTTACAAGGTGACAAAGACTTAAATAGTCCAAAAACTTATCAGCTGAAGCTGAAAGAGAATTGGCTTATAAAAGAAACTACAGGATGCACATGTGGATTGCTTGGATGCAGAATTTGGTTGTATTCTGGTCATAATACCTTCCACAATTTCTTCAACAGGAATCCCTTTGCAGAGAGATGATAATATTTTAGAATGGATATTTTTTGCAACAGAAACAGAGTTAAAAGAATTAAATACCTATGTAGGAAAGGTTTCTAAATTGATTCTATTTTTTAAATTTTTATTTTATTTTACAATACAATTCAGTTCTACATATCAGCCATGGATTCCCTTGTTCTACCCCCTCCTGTCCCCCTCCCCTTCCCCCAGTCCACCCCCAATTCCCACCTCCTCCAGGGCAAAGCCTCCCCCGAGGACTGAGATCAACCTGGTAGACGCAGTCCAGGCAGGTCCAGTCTCCTCCTCCAAGGCTGAGCCTAGCGACCCTGCATAAGCCCCAGGTTTCAAACAGCTAACTCATGTAATGAGCACAGGACCCGGTCCCATTGCCTGGATGCCTCCCAAACAGATCAAGCCAATCAACTGTCTTACCCATTCAGAGGGCCTGATCCAGTTGGGGGCCCCTCAGCCATTGGTTCATAGTTCATGTGTTTCCATTTGTTTGGCTCTTTGTTCCTGTGCTTTATCCAACCTTGGTCTCACCAATTCTCGCTCATATAAACCCTCCTCTTTCTTGCTAATTGTACTCTGGGAGCTCCACCTGGGACCTAGCTGTGGATCTCTGCATCCAGATCCCTCAGTCATTGGATGGGGTTTCTAGCACGACAATTAGGGTGTTTGGCCAATCCATCACCAGAGTTCAGGCTGTCTCTCAACAATTGCCAGCAGTCTATTGTGGGGGTATCTTTGTGGATTTCTGTGGGCCCCTCTAGCACTTTGCTTCTTCCTATTCTCATGTGGTCTTCATTTAGCATGGCCTCTTATTCCTTGTTCTCCCTCTCTGTTCTTGATGCAGCTGGGATCTCACGCTCCCATAGGCTCTCTTTCCCTCGGCCCTCACCCTTTATTGCCCCCACTCATGTCCAGGCTGTTCATGCAGATCTCATCCATTTCTCCATCACTGGGCAATGCCTGTGTCTTTCTTGGGGTCCTGTTTTCCAGGTAGCCTCCCTGGTGTTGTGAGTAGCAGTCCAGTCATCCTTGTTCCACATCTAGTATCCTCCTATGAGTGAGTATATATCATGTTTGTCTTTCTGAGTCTGGGTTACCTCATTCAGGATGATTTTTTTCTAGATCCATCCATTTGCCTGCAAACCTCATGATGTCTTTGTTTTTCTCTGCTGAGTAGTATTCCATTGTGTATATGTACCACATTTTATTTATCCATTCTTCAGTTGAAGGGCATCTAGGTTGATTCTAAATTGATTCTAAAAGATCTAAATTAATTCTAAAAGAAGACTGAGACTTTGTCAATTGAAAGCATAGACCGAGCAGAGATTGTGGCACTCTTTAATAAAGCTGAAATTTCCTCATTATGGGCAGAAAATGAACAAAAAAAAGCAAAGGGCTTGCACTAATTTCTTTGGAATGATTAACAACAATCATCCCCAAAGCAAGAAACATCATTTACACTCATTGGAGGAAGAGATGGGTAGACCCCAGTGCAAAAATACATTCAACAACACAAAGAGCAGTATGGCACCACCAGAACCTAGTGGTTCTACATCAGGAAGACCTCAAAATCTCAACACAGAAGAAGCAGAAGAAATTGACCTTAAAATTGACTTTAAGAAGATGATAGAAGACTTTAAAGAGGAAATAAAAAAAACCTTAAAGAACTCAAGAAAAACACAAACAAAAATTGGAAGAAATCAATAAATCCCCTAAAGAAAGCCAACAAAACCAAGAAAAAGTAACCAAACAGGTGAAATAAAACAGTTAAAGACTTGAAAACTGCAATAGAGGCAATAAAGAAGACACAAACAGAGGAAATGCTGAAAATAGAAAATCTGAGTAAAGGAACAGGAAATATGGATGCAAGCATGATCACCAGAATGTAAGAGATGGAGGAGAAAAACTCAGGAGTTGAAAATACAATTTTCATCAGTCATAGAAAACATTAAAGCCAACAAGTCATAACATGAAACACCCAGGAAATCTGGGACACCATGAAATGACCAAACCTAACAATAATAGTGATAGAAGGAGAAGAATACCAACTTAAAGCCACAGAGAATGTATTAAAAATATCATAGTAGAAATCTTTCCCAAGCTAAAGAAAGAAATGCCTATGAACATGCAAGAAGCTTACAGAATACCAAATAGACTGAACCTGAAAAAAAATAAGACTGGGTTTCTCTCTATGGCCTTGTCTGTTCTAGAACTTGAACTATAGATCACAGACCTCAGACTCACAGAATCTGTCCACTCTGCCTCTGGAGTGCTAAGATTAGAGGAATGAAAATCCATTGCTGTCCCACAATTCTGTTTTTTTTTTATTAAGAATTATTTTTCATTCATTTTACACACCGAAGATTCCCCTCTTTCTTCCTCCCACTCCCTCAGACTCCCCCTGCCACCCCAATCCTGTTTCTCCCCCACAAGAAAGCAAGGCCTCCCATGGGGAGGCACATCCAACAGAGGCAAGTCCAAGCCCTTCTCCCTGACTCAAGGCTGCACAAAGTGTCCCATCATAGGTAGTAGGCTCATCCTACTGCCAGTGCCCCCCCCAATAGACCAAGCTACACATCTGTAGCTCCAATGTAATTGATCCAACTTTCATAAGTTCCCAATAGTTTGGTTTGCTCATCTCTACAGGTTTTCCCATTATGATCCTGATGTACTTAC